AAGCAATGTTGTATCCAATATAGTTAACAATCTTATCTAAATGATTATCTTGTTGTTCAATCTGTGCAATCCATAAAGCCGCAAAGTAATCTTGTTTATTGACATGTTTAGATATCGATCATTAGTTTGACAGCTATATGATACATTACTAGTTATTTAATACGAGTAAGTGTAAAATATTTGTATTGCATTCTTAATCACAAAATTGTAACACTCAAAAATGGGAGGTATAAAAAAATGCATTTTCAGTTTCTGGATATGCTCATTGGCTTGTTTCATGGGCATGATGACGATGATGATGACTCAGGTTTAGTTTTTTGTTCCGCGGCAAACAGGAAAACAAAAGCCACTGTTTGATTAACTGGCTTCTATAAAGATCGCAATCAAACAAAACAATTATAATAAAAGATTCGCCACCTTCAGAGGCAATTAAGGCAGAGCAACAATTTAAGATTCGACTTCTTCGAATTAATTAACATGTCTGCAACGTTTTTTTAGAGTGCACAGAAATGGAAAGTCAGCAGCAACAAAGTTGGCGACACACAAAGAACAAGAACATCCCAAAAGGAAGACAAGGAGGGCGACGATGATGATGATGCACCAGATGAGTCAGAACCAATCTGGAAATCCGAAAAAAACCGAAATCGAAGGGCATCTTTTCCAGCTAATGAAATGTTTATGCTGTGTTCTATTTATTGCAGGGAATATGGAGCCTCCACATGAGTCAGAACTAACTTAAAAGTCCAGCTAGTGAAATGATTATGCTGGACTCTATTTGAAATAAAGAATTCTCTATATGAATCAGAATTAGAAAAGAACTGGCACTCAAATCCAAGGCAGACTTTTCGAGCTAATGAAATGATTATGCTGGCTCTACTTACTATAATTATGGAACGGCTTATTAATGGAGCCCGGATTCGGATGGAGAATCTCGTGTCGTGTTGGTGGGCTCTGCGTGATGACCTCATCGATTGCATCAGATTTCGCACGGCATGTCGTTTTATGTGGCCCGCAATTTTTGTTCTCATTTTGGCTCCCCCTTTTTTGTGTGTTTTAATGTGCAAAAGACATATGCAGAATATTCAAAATTAGCTGTTAGCACGCCAACAGCAAAGCGCTATCAACTTCAATGCGAAACAGCGCTTTTAAGGCGAGCCAACGAAAAAATAAATGTTTCATGGTCAATGCCATGAAATTGGTTGCATTGGACGCTTGACTGACAATCGTTGACAGCCCAGATATAAACTCGAATATTTGTACATAAATATATATAAGAGCCCCAGGCGCATACATAACTCCCGCACAGGTACCCTCGAAAAATTGGAGAAAAAAAATCACTGCGTGTGCAGCAAATTGATTGATCTACACCAAAGTTGTTGCCGACTGTGGCGAATCAATCAATTGACAAAAATTGAGAGAGACAAAAAAAGATACAGATATAAGCTCTCTTAATTTACCTCATTTCTTTACCCCTCGTTTGACATCTCCATATCAGAATAAAAATCATTCTTGGGCGTTGTCTGGCGACAGCTTTTGTGCGATCCAGATACAAGCCATAAATAATGGGATTTACATATGAGAATGTGTAACTGTTCAGCATCTATTAGTATCTAAATATATCACGCTCCCTAATGATCGTCTAAATCCAGTTTTAAGCATTCCCACTTCCCCAGCATTGACCTCTCATTAAGCCTGAGCAGGGAATTTTGAATTTGACTTTGTTATTGGAACAAGTGTTTTTATTTCGCGTATTTTTCATTTGCATTTCAAGTGGTTCGGGTGACGTCAGCCGAAATGAGTATGAAATCAAAGCGAAATTCGGAATTATCTAAACAATTATGACAAATACCATTTTTAAACTCGTCTGGTATCATTTAAGGAAGTTTTATTTGAGTTAAAAATAATATTTGACAAATATTTGCTTTACACATTTGGTTGTTTAATCAAGTAATATTTATTTTGCTTTCTAAAGATAAGCTTCTAAGCAATGGAACAACCCTTTAAATTATGTTCAAACGATACAAAATGATTCATCACTGTGTAAACTCATCAAATTTTTATAGAAAAGGTTTATGCACCTGAAGAAGTTTTACTCTATTTTTGAAAAGTAGAACCATTAAACAACAAATTAAATTCCTTTCTAGAGAGAAGTAATAGAATTAGCAGCGGTCTTATCTTGAAAGACTGGGAAGTAGTAAAATAACTTTTGTAGGCTAGAAAACAATACGGAAATTCTTCAAATGAGTTGTAAAGCGTTAAGGCTGACTCCCAAATTCCGTTCTGCATTTGCGGAACAAACACTAATATCATATCTTTGCACCGGCTGAGAACAGCGATTATGGGTTGCCAAACGATATCTTATCAATGAAATTTCAGCGAGTTACGTAGGCCAGGGCCATAATTCGATTCGATTAGTCAGAGCCAAGAATAAAAACAGTCTGGGCAAAGTGAAGTCCGATCGAGACAGAAACAAATCGAGGCACAGGTGATGGAGTAACGGAAATCAAAATACAGAACTCAGGTGAAACGATTACGAAAGGGGTGCCGATGCCCAGAAGACCGCGATGACAGCGATATTTATTTGGGCGAACATGGATGATGCGTAAATATACGTATAGACGGATCGAGTACATATATTTTATTGAACAATGCACAAACAAACAAAAGAAGACTTTAAGGCAAAAGGCCAAAATGTTTATGTGTTCTGCTGCCTCGACGGCATCGCAACACATTTGGGGTCGATTAATAGAAACACAGGAAGTGTTGCCAATAGCCGGGGGCCGTTTTAATCGGTTCCTTGTGGCCATATCATCTGGTGTAAGTTCTGGACAGTATTCACTTACCTTCTCGGCGAACTCCTCCCGCGGACGACGCGAAATCGTTGGTCCGGCACTCATGAGCTCCTTGGTCGGCGATGGTGTCATTACAACAATTATCTCTCCCCTCGTCGGTTATCGCTTATGAATTGCACTGGCTGCTATTAGTTGGGTGTTCTAGTTACAGAACTCGGGGATCTCTGGGGACCTCTTTTCGTATTGCTTTCGGTTACACTTTATTTTCTCTATATTTCTTGGCCTTTTACTTTTGATTGGGCTTGCGTGCTGCGGAGTAAACTTAATTTATAACAACATTTAATCAGTCAACGAATTCGTTGGCGTTTCTGCCTTGGTCTATAAACAAATTATTACGTAGCTGTTGAGTAATGTCGCTAGCGTGAAACTGTTTTTGCCACTTCACTTGCTTTTGTTTTGGCCTTTTATTAATTACCGGTCGGGGTGTAGATATTTATACAGTGGATATCGGTTAGGCTTAAATATTTAACTGGTTTTAAGAAAAAACGAATAAATGTTGTATTTTTTATTAATAGTTAATTTTTAATTCACAGGGAAGTTTGAGCTATGCAAAAACTAACATAAAATCACGAAAAGAATTCCATTTTAATATTTGATAATTATTTTGTACACTTTTTCTGAATTAAGAAAAAATAAATAATAAAATTGAAATTTACTATACTCAACTGGTATTGGGAATTATCCATATTTTATTTATACTTTGTTCAACAAATCAACTTTATATCAAATCCATATTTTCCACCAACCGGATAGCTGCTAAGCGATTTACTCTAATTGAAATTTATTAGATATTTATGATAAGCACAATCCATAGTCTTAAATGGAAATTAAGACGGCGGGGGTGTATTAACCGATATTTACTGTATGGACAATCTATTCCCAATTACAGTTACAATTTAAAAATGCTAATGAGTCTAAAAGTTAAGATCATATGCAAAGAATGTTGTCATTTGGTTATTTTTAGAAGACAACGTCACAAAACAAAATAAAAAAGGTGAACCGGAACGCCACCAAAAGAATGTGGTAGTTGTTGTTGCTGAACGTTGATTGACCCCGAATATGGGGAAGAAGAAGAAGCAAAGCCGGCCGGTCTAATAATTGAGTTTTTTTTTGTTTTAACTATCTGCTGGTTATTCTCGACTGATTTTATCAACCCTTTTTTATTGCAAGCTTCTTAATGTTTCCTGCCATTTCCAATTCGACCTTCAGAGTATTGCAATTCTAATTGGAATTCAATTTCAGTAAGAAGAGGAAAGAAGAAGCAACAGTTTGTTGAAGGAGTCGCACGCACACACGCACACAAACTGGCGCACACACACAAGCCAAGGCACATATACATATAGACATTTAAGCACGGCTCACACGCACACCGGTTAAACTTGTTATCGGCCGCATGCAAGAACCCAAAACTACAACAACTAAAAACTCTAGGCCAAAAACAAGTTCTGGAATAGCAGCAGCAGCAGCAACAACAACAACAACAACACCGCACTCAATTATTTTATTTTGAAACACGCTCGTTTGTTACTATTTTGTGGTAGGTAATTTAACAAGGAGACAAATGTAATGCACATGCCAACACACACACCACACTCACTCGCTGCCGCGCAAATTAAAAACAAACGAAAGTAAATCAACGTAAAAACGAAACGAACGCGATCCGCCGACGCGCTTTTGCTTCAGCTTTTTTCAAAACACTGCGAAACTGTTGCGGCGGTTGGCTAATGTGGACGCAGTTGGCAAAGAAACAAATACCAAAATATACCAACTCACAATGCCAATAGGCTGCCGAATAAAATACCACTCAAGTTGAGACGTTGTCAATACCCTGAAATTCGTTAGTTTTTGTTTTGAATTCAGAATTTTGTAGAATTTTTATATACTATCATTAAGATTCTTATTAATTTATAAAATCAATGAAATTAACGATTTAATAAATTATCGTGTAGTTTTACCGATAGACAGATTGAAACATAATTTGACATAAACCAAAACATATCGTTATAGTACTGCAATTGTATTTTTAAAAAAGATTTAGTGAAACAGAATATATCAATATTCATAAAATAGATTCTAAAAACAAACAAGTTTTAATCATCTGTTCTAAATATCCCCCTCATTAAAGATAAAAAAGACGAGGGTTTTTCTTGCAAGATATATCTTTAAATAAAAATATATTTAAATTCTAGGTCCACTACATACAAATAAAGCTTTTAGCTTTTAAAATATTGATTTAACAAAGAGTTTTTTTAAGGTTTTGGTTTACCAATAAATACATTGCGGTTGAAAAAATGAAATCAACATTTTGTGCTCATTAGCCCGTTTTCGGTACAGAGCCAGTTTTGCATAATTTTCATTTTCATTTGGATCTCAACCACTTATAAGGTCCATTCTTTGACTAATAAAATATAAGATTGACGTGCATGGGTTCATTAACCGCGATTGGCACAGTATTCAAGTGATTACGAGAAACTAACTTCCTGCATTTGGGTGCTCTAAGGCTCGGATTTGTCCTTGTAGCTCCTGGATGTGCTGCTCGAACTTCTGAATGTCGCCGGTGATTTTCTGGAGATTGGTCAGCACGTTTTTGAGTTTCTCCCCATCGATTTGGACTTCCAGCTCGCGGGTCTGTTTGGTCACATTTCCCGTCAGCGAGACGCACTCGACCAACTCACTGCAATTGGAATGGAGTTGGGCCAGCAGCTTGTAGGCCCTCTTGGCGTGGAGATCATGCTTGGCGCTCTGGAAGAGCAGATCGTCCGTGTAGTTAAACTGACGCTGCAACTGGGCACCGACCACATTGAGTTGCTTCTGCAATTGCCGCGTATCATCCAGAACTTTGTAGATTGCACCCCGCTGCTTACGGATATTCCCAATGAACTCGAATATCCTGCGGGTGAACTCCTTGCGAGGCGCCAGGGACTGACTGGCGCTTTGCAGTGTGGCATTGAGTTCGTTGTGCTGTTGGGTCTTGGCCTGAAGTTCTTGCTCCAATTCCTCGATGCTGTTTCGGATGCCCTGAACCTCCTGAGCTCCCTTGGCGGTTTTAAGTGTCTCCAGTGTTTCCAGCAGTGGTTTCCTGTAGTCCTGCCACTGCTGGGTGAGGGTCTGGCTTTTGCTTTGAGTGGTTTTTAGTAGCGACTCCAGTTTGGTCAGGTTCTCCTCGGAATCCGCCAGAACTAATGAGGTGCGTTCGTTCAGTTTCAGCATGGGTTGAATGCGACCGATCTCCTCGGTGGCTTTGGTTTCCCTTAGTTTAAGAGCTGCCAAAGTCGCAGCATGGGATTTACGTTCGGTTAGCAAGTTCTCGCATTGGATACGCAACTCCTGGACTTGGTTGCTCAACTCCTGAAGCGGAGAGACCTCCTCCTCCGCGCTGGCAGGTGATTTGGTCGTAGACGTAACAATGAAAGGTGCCTCTGGTTCTTCGCTGCCCACAAAGAGAAGCACTGAATCCGGCAAGACCTGACCCCATCGGTCCAGCTCGTTCTTGTGCAGCACCGAGGCAATGAGATCAACTGAACTGGAAGCCGTTTGCTGGAAGAGATTGGGCGCCTGCTGGTCGAAATACTGCTGCTGCTCCTTCGTACGCTCCTCGGGATTGGCAGACGGAATGCTGAGATTTATGTTTGGCCGGAATTCGATGCCCAGGCTGCTGCAACCGAGAGATTTGCGATTGCCAACCGATCTGGCGAATTGTGGCACCCAGGGCGTTTTCAGTTGCTGGGTGAGCTCCTTCCGGATTTGCCGCTGCAGAAGTTGCCTGTGGCTCAGGGATTGCGCCTTGCCGGAGGTTCCATCGTCTGTCGTTTGGCGCTCCCGCGGAAGTTGCTCGATGAGAAACATCAGCAATCGCCGGAGCTCCACGGCATTGGGATACAAGAAGGTCTGATAGCCGATATCGCCACGATAGCCACTATCTTTGCATCCCTGGGCGAGGGAGCTGGCCACGCCGAAACGCTGCGCCATCGCTCCACCGGGAAGAGTCCTTGGAAGCTGCAAATCCGGACGAATCTCCGCCAGACAGCCGGATACGGCCCGCACCACCTGTTCCGGCGTGAATCCGTCCAGCTCCTCCGTGGGCTCAATGGTTGCATCTACCTGGTGCAGCTGATGCATGATTATCTTGTCCACCTCGTCCATTATCCGCTTTATTTATTATTTATTTTCGCAATTACAGGGAGTTTTTTTTGTGACCTGTTTGCGGCAGTCACCGCGATACGTCGACAAGTGGATCGTCTGGCAACTCCAATGGCTAGCACAACCTTTCCGATTCAAAAAGTAACGTATTATTTTGTATGAAAAACTTATTAAAAATTAAATTTATTGCCAATAACCAACATTTAAAATGGTAATTACAAATCGGCTTATTTACAGTTTAAAAGGAAAAATATAATCATTGATTTTTTCATAAGAAAAATTTTAAGATGAAATGCAATTTTATTGCAACAAAACTGAAAACGAAACTAAACTTTGCGAAATTCGTTGCTATATACATTCACTAAATAGGCAAAATTGTAAACCCTTTAGAAATATAATTATAAATTACAAATATGGAGTAAGTTTCATGCAGATACATTGATTGTATATTTTGATTAAAGTTTAATTGTCTATTGTCTATTTTTGTGTATTCTTTGTCCCCCTAATTTTTGACCCTGACACTTGGGGTCTTAACGTCATTATTACCAACCCTTTAACAGTGATTGAGTGAAAATTCGCTGATATTATTTTATAGCAAAGTGGGCAGAAAATCGTCTTTGCGAGCACGCAACCCAACCACAAAGTCTAATTCAATTTGCACGGCACGCAGAATGCGATATAAATGCGGCATCGCAGCGAATGGAAACAGTTCAGCCCTGTGGCGCACACAGAGCGAAACGGGTAGCGGTTAAGGGGAATCGGTTGGGTATCGGGTTGACCGATATGGAACCGCTGTGCAATGCCAGCGAACCGCCGCTGCGACCGGAGGCACGGACCTCGGGCAACGGGGACCTGCAATTCCTTGGCTGGAACGTGCCCCCGGATCAGATCCAATATATTCCGGAGCACTGGCTGACCCAGTTGGAACCGCCCGCCTCCATGCACTACATGCTGGGCGTCTTCTACATCTTCCTCTTCTGCGCTTCGACGCTGGGAAACGGCATGGTCATCTGGATTTTCAGCACATCCAAGTCGCTGAGGACTCCGTCCAATATGTTCGTGCTCAACCTGGCCGTTTTCGATCTGATCATGTGCCTCAAGGCGCCGATCTTCATTTACAACAGCTTCCATCGGGGTTTCGCCTTGGGCAATACCTGGTGCCAGATTTTCGCCTCCATTGGCTCGTATTCGGGCATCGGAGCTGGGATGACGAACGCGGCCATAGGATACGATCGCTACAATGTGATCACCAAGCCCATGAACCGGAACATGACCTTCACCAAGGCGGTTATAATGAACATTGTCATCTGGTTGTACTGCACTCCGTGGGTTGTCCTGCCGCTGACCCAGTTCTGGGATCGATTCGTGCCAGGTGAGTAGACTTTTTAGTTCTAAAAAGTTCTTATGGTGAAAGATAAAGTTGAAATTTCCGACTTTTGACACTTCTTTATGAAGCATTTTTCAAATGAACCATGAATTAATTAATTTGATGAACTTCTGGACTTTAAATATTTTATTCTACATTAATATCTTTGATAAACCTTAGTACTTGGAGATAAAGATCCAGTTATGTAAAATGTTTTTACAATGGATTTGTAAATTTGTCATAATATTATTAGTAGATTCTAAAGAACTTAAATTTCTTTTACTAGTAATAATTTATTATTCTTGTTATTCCATTTGGGGATAATTAGCAAATGCTAACAATTGGCTGCTTAGTTTCCCATTTAGTTCCATCGTGCAAAAGGGGACTCTTGATGGCGGGTGATAAAAAAGTCCAGAGGCCGCGTGTTCCCATCAAACACTTGAAGTTCTCTCGAAAGCCCAGATTGTATCTAAGATCTTTTGATGTATAGAATGTGGTATTTAGATATAAAGTCGGTATTTGAAAGGCTATCATCATGAGGGGAAAAATAAAGGCATATACGTTGAGGACAAATAATACATTAACCAAAACACACAGGAGATCTATCCCACTTGTTAAAAAACTTGGATAAAGTTGAAAAAAGTGAAAAAGCATATACTTCCTCCGTATTTCTTCATTAATTATGAGCAGTAGCAAATAGGTTGCCAATGCCAGGACTGTTCCAATAGTCATATAGACTGTGAACCAGAAAAAGTACCTACAGAAGTAACATAGGTATATACATAACTATTATTATATTTATACTATTATTATTACCTGTAATTATTATGCCCGATGCAAGAGGCTGTGAAGATGCAGTGGTGGTCTCGCCTTAAGATGCAGCATCTGCACAAATTGCAGTGCCAGGATCTGGGCTATTTAAACAAATAAGTTTTATTTATTTAGGGTTTTGAGTCTGTACTCTGAAAAAACAGATGCTAATTTTATAATTATAAAAGCTTACCGGCACTAGCATTTGGCAGTGGTCGCAGTGCTCCCACAGGTGCTTTTCTTCCGGAATTGGAATCTGGCGATCCTTGGGCAGACTGGCCACCGAAGAGCTCGTGCGGTGACAGGCTAGCATATTTCCCAGGATATTGTAGACTATGAATATGGCCACCAACCAGGCGAGCTTGTACATCAGTCCATTGGGGTCGAAGATCATGGGCACCACATAAAACATTTCCACCGATGTAAAGAAGGCGGTGCCCGACAAAACCAATCCCACACCAGCTGGATGTGCCGTCATTATAAACTGCCTTGGATAGGCGTTAGCTACATATTTACAACCAACCATTACGAAACACATTGCTTTGGCGGTATTTAAAACTATGATAATTTGATCGAAACAATACGTTTCTTCTTATATTACCTAGAAATCAGTGACAGATAATGCAGTGAAAAAAAGATTTAGTAACTATTATTTGCAGGGTCCTTTTGAACCATCCCATTTATTATAATTCCTGAGCGTCACGCAAGTCATTTTACTATAAGACCTATGATTAGTGGCGAATCCAGGACTTATTTAACATAAGATTTCGAATGCTTATCTCGCCTGAGTGTGGATGACCCCTATTCCCTTTTAGAAGGGGAATACATACTTATTTGTTGATCTTGTAAACTCTTAAATGGTACTAACTGAAGTTGACAGAATGGGAGAGCCACATACAAAATATATTTGTTTGATATGCATATCTATACGATTACATTGACAGCTATCAAATTGGGGTGAAGGTCGATACTTGGGGGGACTTGAGATCCTGTGTGTGCTTAGTTGGGGTTTCCAGTGGTGTCCTGCGCTTTTTTAATGACCACGTTGAGGGCCAGATTGCCGTCCTCCGAGAACAGCTCCACGGTGGACTTGTTGAGAACCAGGAAATCGGCATTTGTGAACGACACGAAGCTCTCACGGATTGATCTTGGCTTGGACTGCCATCGCAGGGTGCGATTATTGGCCTCCAGTGAGATGTTATAGACGAACTCGGCGGCATCCCTCATAGTGCCGATCATGCGGCACGCGGTGAAGTACTGCTGACAGCCCTCGCCCAGATGGATCTTCTCCAGGGAGAGCAGAAAGTGGCGACCGTGGCAGGACTGCACCATTGTCCAGTCGAGGGCGCCCTCCAGATTCACATTGGTGGCCAGGAAGATGATGTCGCTGCCCTCCATTGTGATCACGTTCTCGTGCATGCTCACCAGGTGCTGGTACACGGCATTCAAGGGGCCCTGCCAGACGCACTTGTCATCCGGATACGGGCAGAAGTACGGACGGCAGTCGCAGTCATCCTCGTGGTTCTTCTTGTCCGCATACGAGAGCCGGGCCCGGCAGCCGAAGTGCGAGTGTTTGCAGGGGAAGATCAACTTGGAGGCTACCTTCTCCATGGCCAGGCTGCGGATGTTGGTCATGGACACCCGGCAGACGGGGCACAGGGACACCTTCGGGCGGCAGTTGGCGCAGATCAAGTGGCCACGGGAACACTGCATAATCGGCGGCATCATGTAGCCGAAGCACACTGGACACTCGAGCAGCGAGACCAGGAACTCGTCCGTGGCCCCGTTCCGTATCGCCTCCGATGGCCTCGGACTCTCCACTCCCGACTGGGCCATCACCTGGTCATCGTCCCGCAAGGGGATCAGTTCGCTCCCGACCGTTGTATCCGGGGATTCCTGCTTGGCCACCACCAATGGGGTTCCCTCCTCGGGCGGAATGGCCAGAGCCGGAGCCGATTGACGACGAGTCAACATCTCAGCGATGACAGTTGGTCGAGTCCTCGAAACACTATCGCGATCCTCACGGGACTTCAGAGCTCTACGTCGGTTCCCAAAAGGCATCTATTCTTTAGATATAAATTGAGCCGTGAATTACTAATCTAACTACCTAAGAACCAAAAGAATAAGAGGGTTTCTAACATGAAATTTATTTTTTACTATTTTCTGAACACTGAAATTTCGTTCTGGTTTAAAAGCTATAGAAAAACTGATCTGTACTGAAAAATATGGACACACAGCTACTGTGCTGGCAAAGCCTACTTCTTAAAAAGGAGCTAAATCAGATTACCACAAACATTTTTAACTTTTGTTTAAGCATGACTCTCGATCATTATTTGTCATTCAGCAATAACATATTTATGATTTACAACCTTCTTTTCAATACTGAGGTTTTTTCTACATCTAAAATTGTATAATTTAATAAAAATAATCATTTAAAATATTAATTACCTGAAAGAGGACTTGAATAATTTTAATTCTGCAATTCTGAAAAATATATTAATTATAGTTGTTTACCAAATAGAAAATAATATTCGCTTAATATGTTTTCATTGCAATAATTTAATATAATCTAAGAAATGACTCAACCTCGCATCTCTACATCCCATTAAACTAAATATTTGAAGTAAATCAAACGAAACTGGACAAGTAGCTTAATTGTTAAAAACTTTTACGATTATTCTTTTAAGGTTTTCAAATAAAGCAAGAAAAACGTTAACTTCAGTTTTCAAGCTAATTACATTGTTCACAAAAGAAAAACACTTAAACATTTCTTATCCTAATAAACTGAGTTTCCCAGATAAGTTGAAACCATTAACGAACACTTTTTTACTTTTACTAATCACGTTTATTTCACTTCTGTAGTTTTGTGTCTGTGTGAGTGATCTCGTATGGTAGTGGCGCGGTAAATCGGCGCATTAAAAGCTAATTACGGTGCAGATGCTTAAAATCATTTATTTTTCTTCCGTTTTCAATTGGGAAACGCTGGCGGTAAGAAATCAAAACCAAAACATGAGCCGGACCGGGGAGATCGTCTAAACTAGTTGGAAATTTAAACATTAACATTGCTTTTTTTACGTTTCGAGATGGGAGGGGAAAGTGGGGAGGGGCAACTCTGTCTTTTTAGCATTGCGAAAAAAATATTTCGTTTTTTTTTTTTGTTTAGTTATTCGTTATTTTGTGATGGTTTGGCATGAACAAAATTGCGGGTCGCAGTTTCGTTTAGGCTGCAACTCTCAAACAACTCTCGAGTTATTACAGATTATCGCTATCAGATATTACTTTTCTTTGTTGTTTCGCTCTTGCTGCTATTGTTATTGTTATTAGGTTTGTTAATTTCGTTATACTGTTCGTTTACTTATTACCATTTACAAGTATTGTATAAAATAATTTACATTAACTAAACTAGACTTTGCAGTACATGATCGAGTGTGATGAGTGACCTTCTCTTCTTCGCTTTTTTTCATGTTCTTGCCGCTGCTGTTGTGGTGAGTGGGTCTGTGTACTCAGTGTTCACTGTAGCGGGTAGTAGGTAGTGGGTGGTGGGCACGTGGGCACGCGCAGGCAGCTCTGCTCCAGGTGTGTGGCCCTTACGAACTAAATTAAACTAAAGCAGAACCCCACGAGCTTACAAAACGGGTAACACGAAAATGTTGAAATATAGTGTGTGCGGTAACTGAAAAATCAAGTCCTAGAACTAGAGTACCAATCGAACCGTCTAGACATACAAACATACAGGACTGCTCCGATTTTTACATTCGACAATAGTTGCTATGTTAAATCAATCCGCGAAATCTCTATAGAAGTATTAGACATTTTTTGGCAAATTAGCATTTTCACTTACAGCCACATTTAATTAACCTATCCAAGGCTCTTCAAACTAATAAGAAAGCTTTAAAAACGATGGAAATTACTTTTTTTTTTACCACGACTTTACAGGTTTAAATATCTCTTCTGTGGCATTAACTTTAATATGTTTACATTTACTTGTTAAAATATTTTAGCGTTTTATCCAATTATAAATGATGAAAAAAAGTTGCGATATCTGGCCAAATGTGAAGATCGAAACAGCCCCGATATTTCCATAGATATATATACATATTCATGTAGGTGGCTCTTAGAATAGAGAATCATTTTTATAAAACAACTCTGCAAAACTCTCACTTCTCAATCTTCCTTCTCACGATCTGTCCAAGAGTTAAACGCCTGATGCGAACAGAGGGCTATAAACTATATGTATATATATGTATTGGAAAGTAAACACAAAAAAATAAAGAACTCGGCGAATTGACAGTGCGTTTAGACCAGGGATATGGTCACGTTGATGCCCAGGTTGCCATTGTCGGCGAACAGTTGCGCAATCGACGTGTCGAACACCAGGCAATCCGAGTTGTGAATCGCCGAGGCCACGCCCTCGTGGATCGAACGCGGCATGGCCTCCCAGGTGAGCCGCCGTCGATTTCCGTTGAGCTCCAGGCGATACACAAAGTTCTCCGCCTCCTTGCGCGACCCAATCAGCTGAACGATGGCAAAAAACTGCTGGTGGCCGTCGTACTTCTCCTGCTTCTCCAACACGAGCATAAAGTGGTGGCCGAAGCAGGACTGCATCATCACCCAGTCGACGGCGCCGGGCAGGTTGATGTCGGTGGCCAGGAACACGATGTCCTCGCCCTGCAGCGTCGTGATGCTCTTGTGCGACATCATTAGATGCTGCATGACTAGGTCCAGCGGGCCCTGCCACTTGCAGCTGGCGCCCGGGCACGGACACAGGTAGGGCCGGCACTCGCACGTCTCCTCGTGCTCCGTCTTCTCTGTGTAGACCAGCGAGGCCGTACATCCGTAGCCGGAGTGCTTGCACGGGAACTTAACGTTCGAGGCAACCTTCTCCATCGCCAGGTTGCGGATATTCGCCAGCGGGCCGCGGCAGGTTGGGCAGCAGGTGAGCTTGGAGCGACAGGACACGCACACCAGGTGCCCGCTGGAGCACTGCAGGATCGGCGGCAGAACATAGTCAAAGCACACGGGGCATTCGAACAGCGAGGTCAGATCGGCGGACATGCCCGCATCACCGCCGCCGGCGGACGACAGTGACGAGCTGGACGACGAGGATGTGTTGGCCGAGGACGTATTCCCGGCACTGGAGGACCCAGTCGAGCTGCTCGTGTTGGTGGCCACTCCCGTGGCCCCGGCTCCTGCTGCTGCTGTCGGTTCGCGGCGCTTCGGGTTTATTTTATTGGACATTGGAAGGGTTCTCGCGGCGGCACGAATGTGTCTACAATTCTTCTGGGTCCCTGCAATCCTCGCCAGGTTCAGGTTCGGCACCCTTCCGGTGGCTCCGGCAATGGCTTTCTTGTGCGATTGGCTGCAAAAAAAAAACACAATCACAAAGTGAGTGAGTAATGCAGCACATTTAGTCATATCAAATTGTACAATATTTTTAATTTTGGCCGGGTCAATGATAAGAAAGACCAAGAATGTTTTGGTTTTCGTACAACACATAGACAAAAAATATACCTACGTAAAGTAAGCTGTATACTATTTTCTGAGTAAACAATTGAGGCAGAATCGGAGGCCTTGTATTTATATTTTATTTTTTATCAATAGAAGACTAATGCACGTTTTTTAAATGGATTAAATACCATTCTTTTACAAATCAGATTGATTTTCAATCAAAATGGGGTGGGCTAATATTTTATGTAAATAACGTCAATTTTATAGATTTGGTTGAATTTAGTTATTTTTTTGTTTTTGGTTAAGTTACTTCCTGTCCGTAGAGGAGGAAGATTTATTTGCCCTCCCCGTATACAACGGGTTAACGCCACAGCCTTGTAACAAGTCAAAGGCTTGCAAATAAATATCTGGTTCAGTACAGAATAGGAAAAATCTGCACATCATTTTTATTACTATTGCTATAATAGGAATATGAAAAATCTGCACATCCTTTTTGTTTCTATTGTTATGTATTGCACTGCAATTGGTTTGACTTCATTTCTTTAAAAGGAGTTATCGATAGTCATTGAGGGATTACGAAAATTAGAAAATGTTTATTTTGTACTTTTTTTTCCATATTTAGTAAATAGTACTAGAAAATCCCTATTATCGATACCTGCCTAACAAAGGTAGTTTCATTGCTCGAACTTTGTTTAGCTCAATAGAAAAGTCACAGTGATTAAATATGCCCTGACCTTCACCTTGCCGCAGACACACAATTGTTGTCAATACCAAAAAAAGAAAACACACGCATTTGCGAGTATGGGAATTGCATGTAAGCAATTATTTAAAGCGGAACGTATCGAACTAGAGTTGGAGTCCGAAAAGCAAAGCCGTAGCCCGAGGTCGCCGTCACGTCTCCGGGCGAAATGAAGGCCCGATTCCGAGCCCAATTCCAAATGCCTCTTGCTGGCACGTGTGGAACGACGCAAATATGTTGGCTCTTATCAGGCCAAGTTGACGGAGCCGACGCTGATGGACGGCCATTAGGGACGTCGACCCATTGCGGGATTGTGGGTGTCGTGCTGGATGTAATGGGTGTGGTCCCATGGTCTTGTCCACAATGGACAGAATGGGCACATATGAATGTGGGGGATAGGCTGCGGGTGCTATGACTACATACTACAGCGTTTATGCAATAAATATTACCAGAAATCATGTATGTCGTAAGCTTTCAAATACAATTCCGTTTTGACTTCCGTATTAATTGTTCTAAGGAACACCTTGATCCGATTTAAAAACTTTAATATAATATATCTATTTTATTAGAGAATCCCATCACCTCTGATAACTAAAATCTTTAACAATCTTTAGTCATATTTTTTATTAGCAAACCTGTTTAGATTTCTTTTTAATAAAAAAAAGAGATGTTGTATCATTTTTATAAGTTTGGTTTTAGTAACTTTGGCAGTATTAAAACTTTCTCTCCCCTGTCTTTCAGAAATTTAATAATTTTCTATTCACTCGCATAAATGCATGATCTTAAGATAAAAAGGTGATTTCAATGATTGAATTTCATGCAAAGTGAAACTTGTGTAACTTTAACTTTACTCTGTGGTCCTTTTTTTTGATAATTGAATAAAGGTTGCTGTTCCTTTTAAATAGAATTCTTAAACAAATATTTTAAATATTAAATTTACAAATTGTTATTATGTTAGTTAATTTACAAGCACGCTATACTTTTTTAGTAAAATCTAAAATTGTTCAATTAGTATGTTCAAATGCACAAAAGTATGACATTTGAAGAACTTAATGCTGGAATTATTACTTATACTATCTTCTCTATTCAAAGAAAGTTACTTATACGACGATTATCTTCATAGTTTCTCCCGCATAAACCCACAATCGTAAACGTAGGACACGCAACGAAAAGCGCGTAACGCAACCGATGCAACGGAGAATGGGGTGTGGGGCAGATGTGGTGAGGGGGAGGGCAACAACACAGAAACACATACGACGCACACACATAATTAACAGTTCGTTTACGCTGCGTACCGTTGCAAACATTCATATGGAGTAAAATGGTAATTGCCACAAAAGTCATAGCCATGAATATAATTAACTTTGTTTCTGCTTTCGATGAGTTGCAAAACGTAAAATAGAAAACGTAAGTTGCGGAGCAGAGCGAAATGCTACTTAGTAAGCCGCCATTAAGCGCGGCTGCAATATAAACAACTGCAAAATACATAATCGTAGATATGTAAACTTACATGGCAGGCTGCCTCCAAGAAATCGTGCTGGTATGGGTGCCCCGCTGCGTTGGTGTGTGTGTATGTTGGGTTTTATTTTACTTGTTTTTTTTTTTTATCAGTCAGCCTTTACGGCCATGCACAAACACAGACACATATAGTCAGCATGTGTGTATATATCCTCGGTGCAAGTTCCGTTTTTTTTTGTTGCTGTTTTTAACTATAAATCAATGCAGGTGGTTTGTCTACTGCACACGCACACTGGGAAAACGGAAAAACTGTTTTGATTGCTTTTCGCCTTTACGTTCACCTTGCGCCGAAACTCGAAATTCAGGCGTGAGCTAATTTCATTTGGCTTTTTATCTAATTTTCTTTAACGCGACCCGCACACACATTCATGTTCAGCTTTTGTTATTTTTGCCTTTTCTGCTGCTGCTCCTGTGTTGTTGTTGCACGAAAATATATCATTTGCATTTACACACAACAGTGAATTCAGTTTTTTGTGTGGGTCTCACTTTTTCTATATTGCGTTCTTTAGTCGCCGAGCTCGGCGTTTATTGCACTTGCACTTGCGCGGTGTGGAATTCAGTCTTTTTCGGCATTATCCATGTACGTTGGGTGTGATTTCTGCACTAGATGGTTAATTAATTAATTTACTAAGTTTCTTCTAATGTCCGCGTCGGTTGCAGGCTAGAGGTGGAGAAACATCGATGCTAACATATGTGACATCGATGTTTTAAAAAAATCGCTTATACCGATGTTTGCCTGACCGTCATCGATGTTTTTCCATCATTAAATGTTAAAATACATCGGCGTATACCACGAACTATCGATATATATTAATTTCTCCACTAATGGTTGGTGTATCTGCTAAGGCTGTTAATATTAATGACTTCCCACCTCTTTAAAGAGATGGATGGATACTTGCTAGCTACCGAGTTATTGTCCGTTAACTATCGATAGGCGCTGGTGTCTCCGCTAACGATGCTAATGAATTTTTTCTACAAGCTTCAATGTAATTTTGTACTAATCTCAGCATATTAAAATTAAAAACTTAAGCATTATTTTTAAAGAATAATAGTTTAAAAATAAAAGTATCCCAAAGAGTACATAGGTAATGCAAATATATAATATATAAATATCGATTAGCGATAAATTACCATTGGGCGGGAATTTAAAATAGTACAACTGGACTACTTTCCAGCAAGTAAGTAATAGAAAACCTTTATAAATAAATAATATCCAAGAAGTCGGAGAAAACTTTAATTTTCCTTTTCCGAATTCATTTACTAACTAAATCTATAACCCAAATATAACATATTTTTAATTAACCCCATACCTATTTATATTTTTTCCGTTTCAGAGGGCTACCTCACCTCCTGTTCCTTTGACTATCTTTCGGACAATTTTGACACCCGCCTGTTTGTGGGCACGATCTTCTTCTTCAGCTTCGTGTGCCCCACTCTGATGATCCTGTACTACTACTCGCAGATTGTGGGCCATGTCTTTAGCCACGAAAAGGCACTGAGGGAGCAGGCCAAGAAAATGAACGTGGAGTCGCTGCGTTCCAATGTGGACAAGAGCAAGGAGACGGCGGAGATCCGGATAGCCAAGGCGGCCATCACCATTTGCTTTCTGTTCTTCGTGTCCTGGACGCCCTACGGAGTAATGTCCCTCATTGGTGCCTTTGGGGATAAGAGCCTCCTCACTCCGGGTGCCACAATGATCCCGGCCTGCACCTGCAAGCTGGTAGCGTGCATAGACCCATTCGTGTACGCCATTAGTCATCCCAGATACCGCATGGAGCTGCAGAAGCGCTGTCCCTGGCTGGGCGTCAACGAAAAGTCCGGGGAAATCTCGTCGGCGCAATCCACTACCACACAGGAGCAACAGCAGACAACGGCGGCCTAGAATCAAGGATGACACTCTACTCTCACACAACTGGTCTCGTGATATAACAGCCTAGGAACACTATAAAAGAATCGAAGATGAACCAATGAGCAATTAATATTATCATTTGTAGTTCCTCAGTTTATAGTAAATAAATAGTAAGTTATGGCAAAGAAAGTACAAAATTAGTCAGTTTTTTATTTGGGTTTTGGGTTCTCAGAAGTCACCTTCAAAAAACAATTCATCATTTATCTACGCTTACGTAACTAATATCAATATTATTTAATCTTCAATGTTTTGTCTAAAAGAAACCAAATTATTGATGAATTCTAATTTGCATCGAAGAAATTCTTGGATTTATGATTAAAATCAAAAATGTAACTTTAGTCCATGTGCAATTTCCACAGAATTGTTTGGAAATTATTCCATCAATAAATCAAATGATAAGATCGACCTATTTTGAAAATAGTCAGTTATGTGTTTATTCGGTATTTGGGTAAAATCTTTCAGATACCCATTGTGAAATTTGTTGGCATTTGTTGAACAAAATGAAAGCGACCCCCCCAGGAAGAACCCCTAAGCCCATGGCCAATCCTCAGTTGCACAATAGAGAGTGCAGTCGGATAACCGCACGGTAGTCGTTGTGGGACAACAGACCGCGCTGCGATCGCTTTAGCACCCGATTCAGGCGTTCCACGGTGTCCCTATTGGAGGTCATCTTAAAAAGATCGTCGAGGTACTTGAGCGATTCGCGTGACCAGAACATGGACGGTTTGTTGGCGTCCTTGTTGATGCTGCCACGCTCGTCCTGATCCATCTCAGCCAGCAGGCGGTCGCACTCCGGGTTGAGAGTCTGGTGCAGCTGCAGATCGGCTCGCGATCGTTGCTGGGGATTATTGTAGGGCATCTGGTTGGATTGCGGACGTCGAAGTTGCTGCTGCTGCTGTCGTTCTCTCTGATGTTGCTGGTTGTTTTGTTGCTGCTGTTGCATACGTTGCTGCTGTTGTTGCTGCTGCTGCACACGTTGTTGTTGATGTTGCTGCTGCTGTTGAATACGTTGTTGTTGATGTTGCTGCTGCTGTTGTTGCTGCTGTTGCAGACGTTGCTGTTGGTTTTGCTGTTTTTGCTGCTGTTGTTTCTGCTGCTGCTGCTGATTCGGCTGCTGCTGATTCGGTTGCTGCTGATTCGGCTGCTGCTGTCCCGTTTGTTGCTTTTTCTTTGGCATTTTCGGGGGTGGTGGCGGAGCCATATGCAGCCACGACGGCGGAGGAGGAGTTGGCGACTGAGCACGTTTATTCGGCGATTGCGGTTGATTCTGCGATTTCTTTTGCTGAAATCCCAGCAGCAACGGATCTATGTGAAGCGACGGCAAGCGATTCTTCTGATCCAGACGGCCGTAACTATTCAACAGTGAGTCGTAATTAGGATGCGGATACGCAGTGAAGATCATGCGCCAGTGATCCTCGATTTCGTTGCGCATCTGTGGTGTGGCGTTCTCATCTGGCGAGAAATCATCTAGCAGACGACGCAACAAAACCAGCAGCTGATCAAGGTGGGTTTTGCCATTCACGAGTCCCGCCTGGCCCACCAGGATCATGTTCAACTGGCGACGCTTCTTTTCGGCCATCTTAAAGCCGTTTTTGGTGTTCAACTCTTCCAGCTCCTTGATGCGCTGATAGTGGCTCTTAGCATTGCCCAGATTGGTGTTCAGACTATTGATCCCATCTCGCATAAAGCGGATGAGTACATCGATCCGTTTGGGGGGTTTCTGGCTCTGAAACTCGATGCTCTTGCGCTTGACTTCCTGGTTGCGACGCAGCAGTTTCACTTGCAACTCCTCCTGGTGCTTTTTAAGGCCATAGATCACCAGTACATAGCCGTAGTCCTTAAAGTCCATGCGCACGCTTACTTGGCACTCTTTGGCGGCCGAAGCCAGGAAATTTCGGCCCTCAGGACTAAACAAGTACTCGGATTGGTCACGCGCCATGATGATCTTACCCTCGCTTGGGATATCTGGCAGCTCTTCACTCGAGTCCGGATCGAGGTGTTCGGTATATGTACTGTTAGCGTTAACACACATGGAAATGCCTTGGCCGTGGGAGGAGATTTCGAAATCATCATTCAAACTTGCACTTAGAGGTATAACATCGGGCAGAGATGCCATGGGATGGCCGACTGGTAGTTGGGTGGTAGGTCTAGCCTCTTGATCCTCGCTGGTTGTCGAGCTGGGCACCTCGAAGTGCTCGGAGAAACTGTAATTCGAATCAGAGTCCAGCTCATGGGGTGCCACCGATGGTTTAGCTTTGGTGGCCTCCATTTGTGGAGTCTGAAAATTGGTGGTTATCTCTTTACGCTGAATGGAAACCGAAGGATTTGTCTCAGCAGCATCATCCACAGGCTGCTCCTCATCAGGTTGCTCCTCATCAGCTTGTTCCTTATCAGGTTGCTCCTCATCAGGTTGTTCCTCATCAGGTTGTTGATTTTTAGGTTGTTCTTCTTCCGACTGCTTATCTTCCGGATGCTCCTCTTCCGTTTGCTCCTCTTCGGGTTGCTCCTCTTCAGGTTGCTTCTCTTCAGGTTGCTTATCTTCAGGTTGCACATCAACAATTTCCTTAACAGCAGGCTGCTTCTTCTGTTTTGTAGGCGATCTCTTAGCCATTCCAGTTGGGACCTCTCCCCGAGCCGCCTTAACCTGAGCATTGGGCACATAGTCGTGGGTATAGACCTTTGCTGGGATCTCGGTCAGAGCAGTGGTTGACTTCCTTTTGACTGTCTGAGCCCTAGCCAAGTTCACATGAATAAGAAACCTAGCATAGTAGCTGTATTTGGGAATATTCGAACTGTTCCATTTAAAGTGAAATGGAGTTTGAATGGCAAAGAAGCTGCTCAGATCGCCAAGATAGCCCATGGGTCCACCGCGATTCTTGTAGACTCTCTGGTGCGACACAATTTCGCTCGTATAGTTGGTGCTGCGAAAGTCGCCAATACGCTGGCGGCAGTTCTCAAAGAGATGGCGTCCGGCGCAGTAGCTGCACTGTTTGTTCCTGTACTGCACCCTGTTATCTAGTTGTACGTTGGATCGAGTCTGTCGGAGATTAAAAATAAACTTAGACCGCTTGCTCCAGAGAATGATAAGTCTGGGTTACCGTAGAGTGATAGCGGCGCCACTTGTCCGGGCACTGATCCATGCCGTGGCCCCTCATCTTGCACAGCTGACAGACCAATCGGCTGTAGAAGGAGCACTTGTTGCACTGCTGCACATAAATCGCCTGCTTTGATCCGCACTAGAAAATAGAAAAGATAATTAGAAATCAGTTAAAAAATAATTATTATGCCTCATAAAACAACTCTGGCAATCAAAATCACTACACTTATATTCCATTAGCTCTGGTTTTTGTGATATTTAAAATTTTCTTTAAAAATGGTAAATAATATTTAGTATGCTTTTTGCTAATTCTAGTGGCAAACAAAGCTTACAATTACTAATTTATTCGAATGAAATGTGATTGGGTCTCCGGAAAACAGCAAAATTAATGGTCTATGTCAGATAAGATGTAGGACCTACCCCAAAACAGATGGCATTGGGACAGCGAGGTTCGGCATGGCCTACTTTGCCGCACAGAAAGCAAACGAGTGGCTTGCGGGGACGCGGGCACTTTGATCGCACGTGGCCCATCTCAAAGCAGTTGGTGCACTTAGCGTGGGAACGGTGTCGTGCTACCGGATATCTATCCGCATTGTTGAGCCTCCACTCCTGGCGATGTGCTGCAATAGTGGGAGTTTTACAACTAAGATCTAACAATTCTTAACAGTTTTATATCTCACCATTCATGCTTTTTTGAAGCTTGTAAACAGAGAAGTGTTCGCCATTCCAGCTGTCATTATAGAAGCGGCACATCTCCTCGTTCCAGCCAATGAGTTGTCCGCCCTTAAGCAGATCGTCGTCCGTTAGAAGTGGCAGTCTGTGCTCCACTTGCACGGCAGGCTCTTCCATCGACGCATCTACGTCATGCTCCTCTGGATCGGCCTCCTCAAGCTCGTTGGAGGCATCCACATCCTCCTCGGATCGCACCGTGGTGTCTGCAGTTATGTCTCGGGAATCCTCTTCATCGGAAAGGTAACCACTGGCATCCATTTGTTCCTCCTCCTGCGATTTTCGGGCTTGGGCATCCATGCGCTCAAATAACGACGCCAAACGTCCGGTCCTGTCATCGTGGAACTCTGTTTCACCTTGAGAATCCACCTCGGAGGCAACGGAAACGGGATCAGATGGGTCTATAGTAGATTCTTGAACCTGTTCACTTCCCCGTCTTTTTTCCTGATTAAGTAATCTCTCGGCTATTTCCCTGGCACTTGGCAGTGCATCCTCGGAAGCGGATTCAGAGCTAGCCTCTTGGCTCGCAGATGACTTTGGCATTTGAATGCGGGCAGTTTTCTTCGGATTTTCATCAGAGTTTCGTCTTATGCTGATTCTGCGAATCTTGCGCTTGAATCGCTCCACAGCCATACCACGGGCTATGCCAGGAACTCCAGTGGTATGGACCCCATCGTCGCTATCTGAATCGTCTAACCCATCCTCGTTGTTTGGGTCCGATTGGCTATGGTTGGTTGTTGAACATGAGCGCTTACGCAGACGCTTGGTCTTCTGCACACTGGAATCCACTACCTCCTCCACGGAAGAGCTGTCCGAGGGCGAGTCCACGCTGCGTATGATCGTCGGCGTAGTCTTCAACTTGGCTTTCGAGTAGACGCCACTCTCAGTGAGATCGGATTCGCTTTCGTAAACGTCCAAGGCTCTAAATTGCTGCTCATCCACACGATAGTTTCGCTTAATCTCCTCCAGACGCGAAGGGGGAACAAACTCATACTCCGAGGAGGTATCAGCCGCTGGATCTGTTTCTGGATTTTTAGATATGCTCTGCTCACCCACCACCACAACCTCCTTTTCGTGCAGTTCCTCACCAACAGCTTCCCTTATAGCATTCTCCGTTAGTACTAGAAGATCTTCATCTTTCTCACGTTCTGCCAACAGGCGACAGGTATCCTTCTGCACTATAAAGTCATCGCTGGACATGACAGAACAACAGGGCGAGTGCATGGATGGTGTAATACTGCCAGTCACTTCTCCTATCTCTCCCTGTTCAGTGATGCAAGACAATCCCATTTTCACATCCGTCGCGTCCATGGCATTCTCCTCGTGAAACAGCTGTGATGAAGTGCAGGGTTGTTCTCCATCGCTCTCGTCCAGATCGATGATGGGATCTGGGGACAGTGGCACATGGACCACATCATCGTCGTCTGAGGTTTGGCTGCTTTCTGCCAGGTCCACGAACTCCACTAGTGAAGATTCCTGCTTGCGCTGCTTCTTATTCAACTGAGCCTGTTTAGATTTCTGCTTTTTGGCAGCCAGGCGTTCCATCTGCTCTAGCTTCCGCTTGGCCTTGCCAAAGGGTCCCGGTCCTGGTTGCTGCTGCTGTTTGTTCTGTTGTTGCTGCTGCTGTTTCTTCTGCTGCAGTTTATTTTGCGGTTGCTGCTTTATTTGCTGCTGCTTGTTCTGTTTCTTGGGCGGGCAGTTTGGTGGGATGGCTACTAGAAGCCTCTGGTCAAATCGCTCCTCCTCGTAGGCTTCCTGGTTAACTTTGGCGGGATTGGCTTCCTGCGGTTTTGGTTTTTGTACTACTGGCGACTGCTTGGGCAACGACTTCTTCTGCTGATTTTGCTGCTGGTTCGACTGTTGTTGCTTTGGCTTCTGATTTTGCTGCTGCTTTTGTTGTTGATTTTGTTGTGGCTTTGTATGCTGATTTTGTTGTTTTGGATGCTGATTTTGTGGCAGTTTTGTCTTCTGGTCTTGTGGCAGTTTTGGCTGCTGATTTTGTTGCTTGGGCAATGACTTTGCATGAGCATTTTGCTGCTGTTTTGGTGTCTGAATTGGTGTTTTTTGTAGGTTGGGCGTTCCTTTTTTGGGCGTCAGCAATGGGGTTTTGTCTTTCGGCTTCTCCAAATCCTTGGGTGATGGAGAGGTAGGTTCTTCAGCAACTGAAAAACAAGAATCATTTCAACTTTTTTTGTTGTGTTTTTGTTGTATAGTTTTATTAGAACTGTTAGCTAATTTCGATATTTTCTGTTTATAACACATGCCTAATTGGTTAAAAATTCAAATAAAACACTAAGTTTAATCACGTTTTAATTAATAATAGTCTATGAAAATATTAAATATTTCAGAATCAGAAAAGCCCAAATGGCAAATAACGCTTTCTATTATAGGAGACAGAGGTAAGAGATAGTCGATAAATTGTAAAAATACGACAGAACAGCTATACACAATAATATTCAATTGGAAGCGAAAAAACGTCACATTTTTTTTAGTTCTAAGAGATTTTTTTAATACCAAGGTGGGTTCAGCATATGACTTAGTCGCGCATTGGCCATGTCCGGACCCTCCACATCGTTTAGCTTGTAGCCTTGGAGTGCCAGCTCTGAAAGTTGAGATTCGCTGATGTGGAAGAGGACAAAGGCCTCCGCCAGCAGGTCGGATCGATTGGGCCACAGTAGAACCCGCACTGCAGTGCGAAACTCGTCGATTGCCTCCCTGATCAGCTCCTGAGCTTCGGAAAGATTTTCGAGGGGCGTCATCATCTTGTCGCCCATCTCCGAATGCTTGGCCTGCACCTTGAGGGCCTTTTCCAAATGCCTGACCAACCGCATGAACACGAACCGTCGGTAACGTTCTTCGAAATGCTGCCGGGGCATATCGTATCGACTCATTTGCCGGCGAACCAGGGCAGAGAAGATGGTGGCGTCCACACAAGAGCCCAGAACACTCACGGTTGCCATCAGCACAATCCCAGAGAGCACGTACTCCACGAGCCGCTGGCTTAACTCCTCGCGCCAAAAGAATAGGTCCCTGCCGTGTCGCACGAGTTGGTAGTGGAGCAGGCACACAATGCAGACCAGGTCGAGAGTGGCCAGGGCCAACGTGCAATGGTTTAAGTGGATTAGCCACCTTTGAAGCACATGCAGGCCGCACCTGCCCAGGCCCAGGAAACGACTGAGGAAGCAGGTCATCATTGAGAAGTTATGGGAGAATTTAGAAGTCACACCAACGAAACAGTTTTTGAAAGGGTGAAAGTTACCTAGTGCCCAAAGCCAGGCTGATTTCCACTGACGGGAGTTGGTTAAAACAGAGGTGGTATAAAAGTATACAAGTTAAGAAATTACTATGGTAAATTCTTTTTTAAAAACTTTTCTTTAGTGGTACATAATTGTAAGATAGGTCATTACAAGAAAGTTAGAAAACATAATGTAGGAATTCTCAAAAGTCTTCTGTGTACTACATATAGTAAGTTCTTTGTCCGGTTTTGACAACTCAAGGTCAAGTTGTTTCAAGTTTTAAATAAAATTAAAAACATGACCTCATGATAAACGCACAAAGCACTTGTCAATGATTTAATTTGTATTTATGTAAAATATTAATAATGGATTCCGCCTAAGAACTACATATGTATGCCTCAGAAGACCTATTGTATTTATCATAAACAAAATCTACAAAGTTAGTAAGAAATGAATAACATTTGAATGTTATCAAATCTAAGATATAAGCAAGGTTGAGTACTTAAGTAAGAACTTTGAATAGCCTCAACATATAATGTCTTTTATTATATAGATGATTTCGACATTCTCTACTGATTGCCTCTCACCTGGGATTGTTTTGTTTGTGATCGTCTGCTGTTCTTCCGCCTGCACCACCTGTCCCTGTCCCTTCCCCTCCGCTCCATCCACCCAGTAGCGCGATTTCTGTTTCTGGCCCGCATTGTTGTTGTTAATCACACGCGTTCCGCTAACGAAACGCTGGCCAGGATTTGGATGCTTCTGCTGCAGCTGCAATGGCGGTGGCATGTTTCTGGCATCCAGGTCGCTGGGTGACTCCATCGCTGCCTGATCCAGGGCACTTTCCTCACCAGTTCCATCGCTGTAGTGGATCGAGGCATATAGAATCGATTCCAGCTCGTTGAGCCTGTCGCTGTCCATCCCCTCAAGCTGTGGATTGTGGGCTATGACAATGGGTCAATTGGAATTATGGCCAGCACTCACATCACTCATTCTGCGCGTCTTTGTTTTCCTTTGGCTTTGATTTGGTTTTCTTGCGCATTGATAAAAAGTAATACAAAGAAAAGAGAGCACGTTGATGGCAGAGCACTAGCGATGGGCAGTCAATAAAGAGACGTGCAATCGTAACAGTGATGGCACTATGGCTATCGGAAGTTGAGTCTATCGAATTCTGAATTCTTCAAGAGCTAAATGTTCACTATATTTTTTTATAATTTGTAAAATAATTTGTTTATCTATTTATGTATTTGCAAAAATTACATTTTCTGGTAGTAAAGAAATCAAATATTAAACTTAAAAAAATAATTAAACTGAATAAAAATATTTCAACATATTCATTAGTTACCACTGAACTCAAATTTTTTAGGATCTCCTTGTACTGTACAAAAACATTGTTCATAACGTTGTCAATAGTTCATTAACCGAATATCAAAAAGTTTAATTTATTTTTTCACTTCTCACTAAAAATTAAATTCTCCCTCCCAATTGCTCATTCTGTGACTCGATAGGTTTAAACTTCATATCGATGGTGGGGGTGCCAACCGATGACGATAACGAGTAGAGCAACCCTAGCTGCCGGGCCACGTACAATTTGCGACAAAAAATAACAAGAAGTAATTAAAGCTAAAATTCTATGTAAGTGGACCGGATTTTGGTTAAATGTATGGTTAAGCTAACGATCTGCCAACCTTGCAGTATGGATGTGATGCAGCGCTACGTTTCGCCCGTGAACCCGGCCGTTTTCCCCCACCTCGCCACCGTGCTCCTGATAATTGGAACCTTCTTCACTGCCTGGTTTTTCATCTTCGTGGTGTCCCGGAAAAGCGCCAAGGAGAGCACCCTGATCAAGGAACTGCTGATCAGCCTGTGTGCCTCCATCTTCTTGGGATTTGGCATCGTGTTCCTGCTGCTAACCGTCGGTATTTACGTATGAGATCCATTGAACAAAAACCATTCCGTGTAGAAATAAACTAAAGATCTGTCCGTGGGCGTGAACGTACGTGAGGCCTTCTTTTTTATTAAGGTTTATTGTAATTCCAATTTTAAAGATTCAATTTGCGCTTAAAACAATATCGAATATATATTACGCTAACATATAAATCGTCTACACGTGCACACACTCCCCCGTCGAATAAGAAATCACGGCAAGTTTTGAAACTATTGCTATTCTATCCGGCCAGCCCGGCCTTTTGTCTGCACTTCTGCATGGTGGCCCGCAGGATAAACTGCTTCCTGGACAGTTGTCGCACGTGCTTGAGGAAGGTCTCCAGGTCGATGACCCCGCCACGGAGTCCCTCGCCTAGGTAATAGATGGCATCCTCGGTGGCCGCCTCGTCGGCATAGGCATTGAGTAATCTACGAGTGGATAAAGTGTTTAAAATTGGTGCCAAATTTAAAGTCACTTTGCAGCGACTAATAATCAAAGGTTTTCATGTCATATTTTAAGCAGCCCTTGCACGGTTGAAGCTAAGCTTTACAGCATTTAGCTATCCAGGCCAGTTCTGGTTTTCAGGGATATATTCGATCAAATTTTATTTGACTTATACCACCAGCAAATGCGCTAAGTAGTTGACTTGTGTTCTCTAGGAAATTAACTTAGTACTAGCCTAGTGTCGATCGAATTTGAGCGTTTTGAACCAGAACTAGCCTAAATAACTTTGTTTCTTAATAAGATACAAAAATCTGTTATCAACTTACTGTCGGTATAGCGGCGCTGTGGTGGTCACCGCCTCGTCGGGGTCGATGGCATCAGCGCTTTCCAGCGTTTCCAAGCTCTTTTCCAGCTCCTGCTCCTTGTCCTTCAACACACTGATGTTTTTCTTAAGATCAACCTGTTCGCGTTCCAGGCGTGAGATGATGGCATCGATTTTGGAACTACCCTCAACCAGCTCCTGTTTGGTGCGGTTGAGAGTTTCAATCTCGGCTTGATACTGATTAACCTTCTCTTGGATGCGACGGCGCAGCTTGTCCTCCACGGCGCTGATGAGTGATGCTTTGATGTGCTCCTCGGTTATGGTGCCTGTGGGGCTGGGGTTGGGCCAGGAGTTCTTAAGGAAAACGGAATTATAGCACGTTCTTTTGTGATTTAGATTTAAAGCTCACATATCCAGCGGCTGGTGGGTTGCCACCGCCACCGCCACCTGGCTGGGGGAAGTTCATGTAGGGCGGATAGCCAGCGGATGGGCCAGCCGGACCAGCGCCACCCGGCGGATACGGCGGAAAGTTGCTGCCCGTAGGATATGGCGGAAAGTTGCCGCCACCAGCTGTCGGATAAGGCAGAAACGTGTTGCTGCCACCGGGTCCGCCCGGTTGAGGCATGTAGGCTGGAGAAAAAACAATATAACAATAACAAATATATGGACTTGGAAATAGAACCCCCCACTCACTTGTGGGATATGGCGCAGCGATTTGTTCCTTGGGCTTCGAGTACACGGGCGGATGATCGCCGAAGGTGACGATCATCACCTGGATGAGTGAAAGCAAATCCGAGTTGTGCGGCTGCCAGTCGTGCAGGTAAGGCAGGTAGACCTTTCCATTGTGATCCACATACATGGAAACCTTTATCTGCATGGTGGGCGTGGGCTTGACGAAGCACATAGGTGCATTCTGGGGATGAGTGTCCATCAACCATATACAGATGGGAATGTAGTAGGTGTTATCTGATGGCGAAGGGAATACAATTACATTATCACGAGTTATCAAGAGGTTCGCGTATTTTAGTTATTTACTTTTGTAGACCACGGGAATAGTACCCTGTATGGTGAACAATTCCTTGGAGCTGCCATCGTTGAAAACTAAAATGGTGAAATGGTTTAAAATAATGTATACTTATACTGTTATCAGCTGACTCTTACCAAACCTCTGCAGGTCGTAGGTCAAGCTGCGATACGATGTGACCACATCTATCACGTCCTTTTTGGTTGCACCAATATATTTGTACTGCAATTAAATACATTATTATCGTTAATTGCGTTGCGTGCAGAAGAAAGAAAAAAAGCAAAATCCCAGAGAGTGGGAGTATGACTCATAGACGGGCCTCACCTTTGAAAGATACTTTGTAATTTGTGTCTCCTCGACCGCGGGCATTATGCTTGGCAAACCAGATCGGCTTAAATCGAATTGCTCCTCAAATTCGACTCAGATCTAAATATTTTTCGTTAGTGAGTTCACAGGGAATTTGTTGAATGAAAACAAAGTGATAGTATCGAAACGCTGGCTTAGTGTGACCGCCGCTTTTCCTTAATATATACAATTGCCTCGAAAAAATTTGGATTTCGGATCCATCGCCAACTGGTCACATCAGTCCGAAACTCCTTGCCGGAAACTCTATTTTTCCCTAATTTTATAGTATTTATGTATATTATATTATATTTATTTATATTCTATAAACCGGGTCTCTAAAACTTGACAAATGATACCATTGTATTATTGTGTTTTTGAATAACCAGTGATGCCAGATCCTATGTTGTTATCAGCAATAAACCGTTACATTTTGGTTAGAAGTTTAAAAGTAATATAAACAAATCAAATTAATTTTTTCCTGGAGATTGCGTTTTAATCCAAAAGTTCAACATTCTTAAATTATCTTTAATCAATTAAATATGTATCTTTATGTAATTTGAATATTTATAACTTATAAATACAAATGTCTTTCAAAATATTTTAAGGCAAATATTTTTCTTGGAAATCATCTTTCATTAAAAGTTTGCATATATATTTTTTATCAGCATCACCAAAAGAGTCGATTTGGCCATGTCGGTCTTTCCGTTTGCTTGTAAAATAGTATGTCAGTTAGAAAACTATCTGGTTGAAACTCTTCCAAAAATCCTATTTATATTGCAGGTAAAATATAACTCGGAACGTGCAGGATCGGACGACTATATCATATAACTCCCGTATAAAGTTGTTTTTTTTTACAATATTTTAGAATTCGGACGACTTTATATATAGGTGCAATAGAAACCGATTAGAAAATCGACAAGCTTTGGCATACTAAAATCTGTATAGCCAAAGTTTTAAATGGCTTTAAATTATCTGAACAATTACGAATTTAAGACTCTACATTTTTGCTTAATTCCAGTTGCCCCTGTTGATTTTAATTAAGCAAATCTTGTACAGATCGAAGCCCTCGGGCAATCTGTGCCACAATTAAGCCAAAAACGTGCCAATTAACGATTGGCTTATCTCTGCAAAACAAATCCATGTACCGACCCATTGCTCCACTCGTTAAGCCTAATTGTGGCCAGGAATTGGCGCGAGTCGTTAAACTTTTTCGAGGCACTTTGTCGCGAATTCGATTGCGTATTCCGCTTTGACAGTAATTACTTCCAATGTCTCAAGTTCGCGCACATAAAATTTCGATTCCAATGAAGGTCAGCTCTAATGCCTTTTGTTACTGTTGCCTTTGCTGATTGATTTCTGGCCGAAGCGCAATCAATGAACAAGTACAGTAGCCAAATGTTGCCCTATCATTAGGGGTAGATCAGCAGTGGCATTGCTGAAATATTGGATTAATTGTTTGGGGTTACACAGGTATGAATCTTGTGCATTTTAAAAATATATGATTCTTTACAAAAATATTGTCTTTATTACTCAAAAACTTTTTTGTTTACCTATGTATTAATTTAGACGATTTAAGAAAAAACTCCTTTTACATATTATATCAGATATCAGACAACTCGAGAATAATGTCAAAACTGATACTCCATTTTTAAATTTTAAAATGATTCCGATAAGACAAAAAATACTTACAGGTATTTATTTTCGTAGCTAGAGAAATTAAAATATTAAAATAGGCTGAGTATGGCTGCTTCGGTTGAATGGACAATTGGTTAAATGGCAAGTGCTTTTGGGCAATTGGCTTCTTGTGCGTTTCGCCTTCGGCCAACTACAAATTGTTGGTCATGTGTACTTGAACTCGCTTGAAGCGCTCGGCTGAAGTTCAAATCAGAAGTGAATTCACATAAATCACTTTGGGCACACTCTGGCTGGCTGACTGCCGATTACTCATACGCCTCGTGGTCGCTTTTAATTAGCTAACGCGATTCTTATCACTGTTGGCCACCGCTACTGCTGGGGAACTCAAGCTGGAAACCAACCTGAGGCAACTTCAGCTTCGGCTATGCACTGGAAAAACTATGAACATTTTCGTTCTGATATTTTAATATTTTTCTTATACTGCTATTGACTGCACTTGAAACTGTGATAAAATAAGAACTTATTTATTGTTTAATCTGGCTTATCTGGTTGAACGTATTTAATTTAATTTTAAATGTTTAATCTTGGAATCAATTTATAAATTTGTTAAGTAAAATACAATTTTAAAGTAGACTAAACCCAATATTTTGTATAACCAAAACTGGTATAAGTCTATAGAGATTTGTAGATTATAAAAGGTCTTAAATTACCTGTCGATTTCATTCCGAAATTTTTAACAGATCTTCCCCAACTTCAATATATTTTTGATTAAAATAAATTTCTGTGACACCGCTGATGAAAAGCTAATAAATCTTAAGAAATATCTAAATATTTTTCCGTGTGGCTGTGTAATTGCTTGCCTTTGTAAACTTGATTTTCTCAACCGCGTTGACCTCCGGCCAGCTGTGTGTTTCTTCTTCGGCCACCCCGATAATGATAATCATCGTAATAATCGCGTTCCTCGGATCTTTGTGTACGTCGTCTATTCTCTCTTTTGGCTGTGAAATCTTCTAGCCCATGTCCCAAGGCCAGGCAAATTACAACAAAGCTCTGGGCAGCGGCAATTGAGTTCATTATCATAATAACCCATTGACCAACTAACTGTTGTAAGTTTTGTTTATTTTTTATACCATGTTCAATGTTTCTGATTTGCCTGGGAGGTTTGAGCTCAACGCTGCTCAGAATCGAAAGTAGAATGATATATGCGACGGGATTGGACCACCCACGTTCTCGAAATCGGGCGATTGGATCTCGTTCAGAAGTCATCAATTTTGTCAACTGAATCTCACAGCTCGATTAATCACTTCACGCCTGCCAATGACTTTTAATGAGCTGCCTTGTGGGCAATAAATTTAATTAAAGCAATTTCAACACTTTGAGGCCGAGTACTTGACCCAAACAGACGATCCGGGCCGAAGTTCTAGCCTGATGAATCCGTTTCGGCATAATGGACTTGGCCAGAAGCGGAAGTGGGCAGGCAAAGCTCGGCTAATTGGCTGCCATTATGTCTTTACATTTTATAAATGGCAAATCTTCACTCTGAATCGAGTCTTATTTTTAGAGTACTCATTGCTGAATGTTCTAAAAATAAAGTCTAATGAGCACCGCCGTCCAAACAATAATAGACTAAAAATAAATGGCAATGAAAAAACCAATGAAATTAATCTGTCAGTGAGTTTCAAGCCACCGCAAAAAGAGATTCTATGGAGAAAAGTTAAAATTCCCCGGAGAATTCCCAGGAACAGCACCCATTAAACTCATTATTCATGTGGTCCATTCATTTACCTCAGTCCCAGTGACCTCTTCCAACAGGCGGAAAACTAATGTGCCGATTGAAACTTCCCTGTAATGCTATTTAATGTTATTTATTATGCTGCCATAAAAACAATAAGCCATTTGAACAAAAGCCCAGCGCAAGAATCAATAATACACCTGATGCTGCCATGACATGCTATATATATCCATTGCTAGCCATATGAATGTGTTTTCGGTACCAGCCCCCACTGACAATATCATTAACAACAAAGAACAAATTTCTGCCAGCATCACTTTGCAGCTATTAATGAACAATACACGAAACATTGGAAAAAACAAAACCAATCCAAGAACAAATAGATACGTAGAAATACACAAAGCATGAAATAATATTCAATAAGATATTTGAACTTTGAGCATGACATGATTTGCGGCTAGATCTGATGAAAGATATTTAACTACGACTAAGAGGTTTATGAAATTATGCCCATTTCAAGTTAAATTTAAATAATCCATAATTTGCTTTTCGCCTAATAATTACTTACTGGTATTGCTTAATGAAATTAAGTAGTCAGGGTTTTTCTTAATGGCTTATTCGAAAACATGTATTAGTTAAAAAAAAATATAAATTATATATTATTATAATATATTAAAAAATTATAATAAGTATTTTTTATAGTACACATTAAAAAGTCCTGCTTACTATATAAAAATTGTATGACATTAAAGGATTAAAAATATACCTAAATATTTATAGTTTAACTTATTAAAAATTGTATCTTATTTTTTAATAAAAACTTAATTAAACTTAAACTTAAATAATTGAAGAATAAAAATTCAAAGGAAAGAGCAAATTAAACTTTACAAACCCTATTAATCAGACAAACTTAAAGAATAAGAAACTATACGTTATATATACAACAAATACATAGAACTTAAAGAAATTATATTCTTGCTGAGCTACGAAAAAAAGAAACATTAGTTTTAAATTTGAGGAGTTAAAAGAGCATTAATTTTCTCCTCAGGGGTTTGTGAATAGCTTAATTACATATTTAAATATTCTTTTCAAACATCCATTTCCAACAATTCTCTTAAACGAAAAACTATGAGATGGGCCCTGTGTTTTTGGGCGTATCTGGGGGTCACTTCCGGGTCAAGCCCCGTATTCACCTGCTGCTCCTTCTCCCCTTCCCGAGCGTTTTACATTCGTGAACTCTGCCACTCGACGACAGAAACCATTAATTAGTAAATTGCTTTGTTTTTGTGACAAAATACCCGAATTTGTTCGTGTGCGCAGATGATTTATGGTTATTTGATTTGTGCGAACTTTGAATTAGCCATCATTTGTTGGCCTGTCAGCAATCGATGAATTGAACAGGGACTGGGATTCGGGCGACGTGTTCCTCCTCCGGGCGAAAAACTCCGTGGATTAGCCGTTAGCTCCAGTTCCGCATTGCTGGCTAAAGAATTATCAATCAATACAATAATTTTCGAAACGCTTCCCAGGCATTTTCCAGTTCGAGTTTACTGACTTTTAGAAGAGCACTAAATAAAAGCAATGACAGCGCTGACAGCTTAGAATGTGAAATGAGTCTAGGAAAACCTTCGGCCAGTTTTGTTTTCGTTTTCTAGAACCCCAAAAACCCATTTGAAATGAACAATAATTTTTCAGCATAATAACGACAGTCAGACACAATTACCCAGATTTTTGAATAGAGCTTCAATGTCAACATTACAGGAAGCATTTTGTTTTATTTTGCTAAGTCTAGAGAGCTCAGTT